AAAGTCTGCCAGGCAGTCTTTGGCAGGCCCCATTTAAATTTCTTCAGAAATGTTCTAGTTTGAAGATTGTTCCTTCATAAATGGAAGGTTTTAATTCAAAGGTTCTCCATATAAATGATGAGAAACTGAAGTACAACAGGGCCAACACTTTCATCCCGGAATGGAACATTTTTGAAGGAGATTTTTTTTTTTTATTAATTGTAAAATGTATATCATTAGTATAATATCTCTTAAAAATGTAAACAGGCAGTTTTTCGTTTGCTGCTTTTGGACTGTTGGGACAACAAAGAAACCAAAAAACATTTTTCAAAGTGAGACCACTTAAAATGATCGGTTTCTCTGCTTTTACTCTTTATATTTATACGTTTGAGGAAAATGAACATTGTTCTTTTCTTCTATGAACTACTGATATGTCTCCAAAATTCCGAGCAAAACTTTAGTGTTTAATAGCATAAAATGAGAAATGGTCAAAATAACAGAGGACACATTGCTTTCAGACCTCAAATAATGCAAAGAAAACAAGTTCATATTCATTTGGACACAGCAATATTAATATTTGAACTCAGGAAGAGATCAGAAATCAACATTTGGTGGAATAACCAGGAGGTTTTCAGTGGGGTTCAGTGCAGTCGGCTCTTCATTTTTTTCCAGAGCTCTATAGATTCATGCAACTTTTTCTCTATTTACAAAACAATAACGGAAGATAAATTGATCTTCAGTTTTTTTTTTCTGTAAATATTGTTAAAATCTCCTTGTCTTGCTCTTGTGAACTCAGCATGGTGAATGGTCTTGTTTGGTGAGTTGGTTGTACCTTTAAACCTCAACTTTTGATGCAGTATAATGGTTAAATGAGGTCACCATTACTACCTGTTTGTATATGTCTCCTAACAGCCACACCCACACACTGAAGCATATTGGTGAGGTCTGGAGCTGTGGACCCTGGCAGACAGGTGCCTTTGTTCAGAAACAGGGTGTGCAGTCTGGGAGCGGGGGGGGGCTCTGAGTCATTATTATGCTTTCCACAGAACGGTGGCGCTCCGCATTTTTTTTTTTTTTGCCGTGTTCCCGAGTTGGTCGGCACATTCCGCTGGCATTGTTATCCGGCCCGTTTCCTGCGGCCGGCGGCTTTTGTCAGCCTCTCCCCCATTGTCCTGGCTTCCTTTGTTCCCCGGCTCCAACAATAGCTTTTTTTTCTGCCTCTTTATATATATGTGCACTTTTTGCCCTTGTGTGTTCTGTTTGTTTTGTTCTGCTGTCTGCTGTGTTTTTCTTTTCCTCCGGTTGTAGAGCTTGGAAATAACACACACACACACGCGCACACATACACAATCCCGAGTTGGTATTTGTTCAGGTTTGCGTGGACTCAGACCTCTCTCAATCAACCTGTCCTGTCTCCCTCTGTTTTCCCATCACGTAGTCGAGACTTACACTGATTTTAACTTGACCGTAACCAGGTCACCGTATTCTGGATTAGGCTTGTTGAGGTTTTGCCCTCCCCCCCCCCATCTCCATTCTAGTTTTGTACCCAAAGAGTGACAAAAATATGTACAAGAAGTGGATGTGTCTGACACGGGACTTCTACAACTGTTTGTTTGTTTGGACCTGGAACGTTTCACAGCCGCTCTGATACCTTGTTCATTCAGGAATTGCTGCAATTTAAAAATTATTTTCTGTCATCTTTGTAGAGTCGATTGCAGTCTGGGTGAGATCCAAACCATTTGTCACATCAGCCAAAATCGTCAACTTAAAAGTGCTGGCAGTCAAAAAATATGATTAAAAATCACCAAAAATATATTTATATATTTTACCTGTTTAACAATAAACTAATTATGATCTGTTTCAGTTAAACAAATAGAGTTGTTTATCTTTTATTGAACAGAAAATGTCATAGATTTGGAGAATCAGCATTCAGTTTCTATGCTCCTTTAATCTGAAACAAACGTTCAGAAAACTGGAAAACAGCCAAAACACTGATTTCCTTCAAACCAAGGCTAAGATCTCACCTGTTAAGAGTTGCCTAAATAATATTAATAATAACTTAGAACATTTATCGATTATATTTCAAGTATATTTGCTTTATGATGCTTGTTTCATAACTGGTTGTGTTATGTTTTTGTCATTTGAGGCACTAAGTTTGTGCTGCCTTTTTGCTGAAATGTACTATACAAATAAACTTGACTCGTAGATTCAAAACTTATTTTTTTTAATGAACTTTATTTGATACAGTAAACAACACATAACTGTGTACATATCACAAAAGTATGCCATAAAACAGAATGCCAAGAGAATGACTGTCACAATAGTTGTGCATAATAATAGTATGAATTGTGACATACTGTATGTGCAATCCAAAACTTAAAAAGGGTTTTAAAGGGTCCGGACCACTTCCCTAATCTTCAAGTGTAGATTTGTTCCCTTTCCCCAAAAATCACAAAAGAAACTTTTGAAAAATGTCTATATGAAAATGCAAAAGAAACAAAAAACTAAATAAATCTGCAATTCATCTATGGAAAAAAATAAGGATGAAATTTTATGTTCCCCCCGCCATTGTTGGAACAATGGTTCAGTCCAATGTGTAGGAGGAGCAACAACAGCGGCAGCAGCGGAAAAACCCCATCAGAGCCACTGAACTGAGGAGCTAGCTGTGGTTATGCTGCACAAGCAAAAAACCCCTCCAGTAAGTAAATACTTAAAGCAAAAGATATGTAGCTCAATAGGATGAAACACATTGACAATAAAAATTAGGCTTCAGTTTGTTATTTCATTACTTTGGCTGAGTCATAATAAACTACCACATTATGCCTTGGAAATCAAAACTAGCAAAACTGGCTACATTGCTTTGATAGACTAAAGCAAATACTTTAATCATTTAACTCTCTACCGCTGAAGTTAATGAGAAGAGTAGTCAACGTAGTCTTTAAACCCACAAAATAACGTGATATATTTTTTTTTTCAGTGAAAATCCTTGGTGCCTTGAGCATTAAGTTATGATGCTTCCCAGATATTCATTATTTCTACTTGTAGGTTCTCAGCCATCCAGGACAAGGCAAAACCAAAACAGGTTTAAAATAAAGCAACTTAACAAGTTATAATTTAAATAACACGTAACCTGTATTTAGAGACACTACAATAAATCAATGTTTGAGGAATTTTACTAAGTGGGATTACTTATTAAAACTTAGTTTTATTTAGAGCCTTACATTTTTGTAAAGGGCTAGCAGAGATTAGATTAGTGACACTGAACCAAACTCATCTCAACAATATTTCAATCTTAGTTTGTCTCAACAGAGAAAAACATTTTTGATGTGCATTGCTTCTTACTAGTCATTTTTGGTCTTGCAGCTTGAACACTTTAAATGTTACTCTGAAATGTAACACTTTACGTTGCATTTTAGTGGGATTTTGCCGACCCCTGCACTCCCCAAAATATTGCTTAAGAAATCTCCATGTTTATTGAAAACTGAAAATGTATATATATTTTTGTATCAGCAAAAAAACAAACAAAAAAACAACAACAACAACAAAAAAATAAGATCTGGGCTAGTCTTAATTTAAAAATACTTTCTGTATTAAGCAAAGTTTTCATAAAGTAGTTAAAAGCAGATGTGTGTGTGTCCTGTTCATTTTGGAGCATAAGTTCACTTCACAGGATTAATGTGGTTCCGTTTACCACGAAATTAAAATGGAACTCAGTGGCTTAGAAAAGACGATCACGTTTGTGTTGTGTCTAACATTTTTGGAAGAAGATTGGATATAGATATTTGTAGTTTCATCCTCATCTTGCACTGTTAGGTCAAATTTATATAATTCTTGAATTGTAGGATGCAAAAAATCAACTTGGGGCCACAAGTTGTCCCCAAGCCACAATCTGAACAGTCCTGATGTAAGGTAATGGAGTATCGGGTGATTTATCTGTGAGCTGTTTTTGTTTGGCTAGAGGTCATAATCACTTGTATTTCATGTTGGGACCCAAAGCAAATGGAGGTCAGAGGTTTGGAAAGTCTTCAGTAAGTAAATGAATAAAAGTAATAAATGTTTGAGACCACTACTTTGAAGTAACGAATAAAAAGGGTCATAAGTTTTCCTGCTCTAAGTGTCTGCTCGTTACCATAGATGCACATAAGCGTAAAACTGATTACAAATACCTTAAAATGCAGATTTGTGAAATCTTTGGTTATGTAAACAAAAAAAAAAAACAGATTCTCACTTTGCCCCAAAATCTCCCTAAGCTATTTTCTTGTTAAATTGAATTTGATCTACTGTGTAGCTGGATGAACTGTCATACCTGTAAAATGTATTGCATGGGTTTGTTTATGGGTTCAAAACATACCCATAAAAATTAACTAAAAATTACAATGCATGTGAAAGAAAATGAAAGAAAAGCCAATGTACTTGGTGCCATGACCTCTGACCTGGAGGCATGATATCTTCAGGTGGAGATTTTGCTGAGAATCTGTGTTCAGTTTCAACAACCTGACCACATCTCTGGTGTTTTTCATGTATTTGGAGTCTTCCTTTTAAAATCCGAGATACATCAACAGTTTAGCCCTAAGACTCATAATCCCACCGTGTAAAGCTACTTCCTGTGCTAAGGTCGTTCTCTGGGCCGGCCAGTGAAAAGTCAAAGCTGGTAACTAAATAAAAGCGGACCTGGCTGCAGTCCGTGTCAACCTGAACCACCCTGTGAAAGAACTCCAGGCTCAAGCTGGAACATTCTGCAAGCCAAGGCTAGCACCACACAGGGTGGGACTGAAAAACCATCTAATCTTTTCGTGTTTGTGGCCAAGCCTCTAATTAGGACTGTGCCCACATCTTAAGTTTGCCAGCGCATGAAATGAGACCATTCAAAAACTTTCCCTTGTCTTCATGTAATTTCCATTTTGAGTCACGCTTAGTGTCAACTACCTGTACAAAAACGGGCAAATTAGCATGGCAGAGACTCGCAACGCGCCACACCCAGAGGACAATTAGCATTATGTGTGTGTTTGTTCTTCCAACAGAATGGTTGAGCCCAGCCCTTCAGCTCTGCACCTCCTCTCCGGTGGGGATGTACGCATGGCGGACATCGGTGTCAAAGTGGAACAGGAGGAATGCGGTGGAGACAGCGGAGCCAAAACCAACTTGGAGCACCCCAGGACTCTGCACGACTGGTCAGCAAGTCAGCCTCTAGAGACGCGCCAGCTGACCCCCCCACTGTCACGCTCCCCTTCGGTAAGGAGTCTTATTAGTAGGAATGCATTTAAAAATAACAAAGATTCTTCCCACTCATTGGGGAGCGATGCTGAAACGGTCAGATTAGCTCGGTGTGATGATGAGTTGCTCCATGTTCTTATAGGAGGGCTCTCCAGGAAAGGAGCCGCCTCACAAGCAAAGCCCCCTGGGAACGAAGGAAGCCAGGATTCACGAGCGATCAGAGGGGCAAGCCAAAATTAAGGAAGGTCTGTAGTCATGTTTGAGAGTCACTTGTTGGTGGAAATACTTCAAAGATGTTCTAGTGTTCCAGACAGTGTTATTTCTTTTATCTATAATAACTTATCACAATGTAAAAGTGTAACATTACTTCTTAAATAGTAAGACATGATAACTAAAAGCCACTTTAAGGTCTTTTGGTATTTTTAAAGTCTCTTGCATGACTGGTCAGTAGGGCTGGGCATTTATTGTATCGTTTATCACTTATCGTGATAAATTTCTAACCATGATAAGATTATTTATTATTGTAGCTATGACAAATTCTAATTAATGATGCTTTAATGATGACAACTGTCCATATTGTCAGGAGTGTTACAATATGGACTGTTGTAACACTCCTGTTTGTTCAAAGAGAGTATCAATAAAAATCAATACATATGAAAATATGATTAAATGCAGTTACTGTGTGCACATCTGACTGGTGTCCATATCGCCCACCCCTTCTGGTCAGCAAACTCTTGGATGTTCAGGTCTCTAAAGTTTATGGCCTCCACATTGATGTATTTTAAGAGTAACTGAATATAATCATATTGAGATGGAGTAAGAACTTAAATAAACAAACTGTTTTACCTTTGATTACTTAATTTGTTCCCTTTGGACCAACCCTAGATTGGACAATCAGTGTTTTTAGACAAATATTCTGACAGTTTTTGAATCAGCTAATGAGACGTATAGTTCAAAATCAAACATGTCCGTTTCTCTATACAGTGTGGTTAGGTTGGGGAGGTGTGAATCTGTAATTGAACTCTCTTGGTTGAAGTCTGCTTCCTCCAAAATCAGGAAGCAGGTTGTAGCGCAGGGCATTCTGGGTACTTGCAACCAAAACAAGTGCACAAGGCTCGCGCTAGCGGAAGAAATGGTTTTTGATCTTTTACCAACGACAAGAGGCAGCAACCACTAGCATCTCCATCTTTTTTACTTTTTTTTTTTGGAGAAGTAGTTGTGCTCAGTGTCGTCATAAGTTGTTTTGTCGTTTTCTTCGGTGGTTCTTGTTGCAGCGCCCCCCACAGGTGAGGACAATGTGTATGCTGTGTAGGAAATGGACACACAACCTCCCCCAGAGGCCAACATTTCAGTATCTAAGACTTTTTGTTTGTGACTTTATATTCAAGCTCTCTAAGTAATCATATGTTCAAGCTATATTCATAACATATTAAGTGAAATAAATTTTGTATTGTTGCTTAGCACAGTCATGCTGTTGCTGGGCTCTAGATTGATTTAAAGTGGACTGAAGGTGCTTTTTTGTTCAGAGATTCACTCTCTACTTTCAAAATTTTCACAATTCTGAACTCTTTGGCTGATTTTTTTTTCTTCTTTTTTCTTAAATTCTCTCCACTCTGTGACCTTGGTTTATTCTCTGTCCAAATATTGATCCACTCAAACACTCCAAATTTCTCCCTGATGCACAAACAATCGCGCGGCCTTCAACATTCCGACCGTCTTCTCCAATCAGTGCCATTAGGCCGGGCGGGAGGGGAGCCGCAGAAAGCAGTTAGTGCTACAGTTGGATGTGTTTTGATTTGACGGAGTAGATTCTGGGTGTCGTGTAGTGCCGCGCAGAGCAGTTCAGCTGAGTGCCTGTTTGGTTCTGTTAACAGTAATGCCGACCATCGAGAAGCTGCTGAACACCGACTGGAAGGAGAAACTTCTGGATAAAAGCTCAGTGGGCGCAGGACAACTCAAAGGTCAGCTCTGATTTAAAAAAGTAAAAATAAACAAACAATAAAAAAACAGCTTTACTCGATTTGCTGCTTGTATTCTTTGTATTTCATTGCATTGTTAAGTATTGGTTTTTAGATTAAATGGAACAACTGTGCTTTAATATTACTGTGTTCTTGGCTAAAACTGATTGCGGTTGTTGTTGCATGGGCGCAATAATATAATAACGCCTTATGTTAAACTATGATCTCCAATTATTAATTTTGTAATTTTATTGCTAAATTATTTAAAAAATAATTGAGCAAATTTCAGTTTTTTTAATTCATTTATTTTTTGTGAACAATTCATAAAGAAAAGGGTTTGTAATCATTGAAAAAAATATATTTTTTTGTCAACAACCCGAGCATAACTGTGACCCAAAGTTATGGCAGCAACTGCAGCGTTTATATGGAATGAAGACGATTTGAGGGCTTGATCTTCCCAGCTACTATTAACATCTCCATCCTGCTTTCCACTTTTTGATAAGTTTCATTGTCATTGTTAACAAAAGACAATTAATGATTATGGATTTGAAATTTTATGTTGCAATTAGGAAATTAGCACAGTTAGCGCGAGTAATGTCACTATATCTTCCTTGATGTTGGCACAGAGGTTTTTAAGCAACCTGACCACATCTCCGTCTCACTGTGAAACGATCTGGAGTTTCCACCCAGCAGGTCCAGATCAAGATCAGCCAATTTTATCACCACCTCACTACTTAGTACACATCTGAAATACAGCTGTTTCCATGGCGATTACTGCAATGCATAAATATTATGTACTACTAAAATCGTCACATCAGAGAATGTCATTTTTATTTTGAAAAACGTTAATTAATTAATCACTCACTGAAAATTAGTTGCAAACATTAGATTGTTTCCTGTAAAAACAGGAATACACATTTTGTCAAATTTGAAATGTTGCTCACAAAAACAAAGTTTCTCTTTCTAACAATAAACTTAAAAATGATCAAAAGAATTTTCCAATAAATATTTATTTTTAGATTCAGTTATTCCTCTAATCCACAGGGGTCAAACTTGCGACCAAATCCGGCATTTGTATTGTGCCAAACTATGTTGTGTTCAGTGTTATTTAACTTTGACACATTCTCATCAGACTGCTATTTATTCACATTTTAATAGTCTCTTAATGGGAAGTTTTATCAACAGATTCTGCCACCATTGGCCCTTTTTTTAGGACATTTGTGGTGTGTGTGTGGGACGAAATGAAAACCAGGTTGACACACCTGCTCTGATGGCTTCCAGGCACTCCGGAGTCTCTGGCGGAGAAGGAGCTGCAGCTGCTGATGATGATCAACCAGCTGAGCGGCCTGAGGGAGCAGCTGCTGGGCGCCCACTCAGAGCAGAGGAACATGGCCGCCCTGCTGCTGGAGAAGCAGCAGCAGCAGATGGAGCTGGCCCGGCAGCAGCAGGAGCAGGTACGGCTTCCTGCAGGAATATCATCAGTCAGATGATATGAGACGTTCCTGTGGTCTGGCATTTCAGAACGTCACCAGCTGCGTTTCCACCAACCATAGAACCAATTGAAATGACAAAAAAACAAATTCGCTTAATGAAAAACATGCATCCTAGCGGAAAAAACATACATTTTAGCGGGTTAGGTGATTTATTTATTTATTTTTCTTCAACTGAATTAAAAAAAAAATTAGTTTCTTGCATTACAAAGGTCACATGATCAACAACCGGTTGTTACTACTGTCAGAAACGCGGAGGAAGAAGAAAGGAAGTAGTAGGAGGAAGATGGTTTGTTTTGTTTTTTGCAGACCGTGTGCAGCTGGCTCCACCAGAGCTCTCACAGCATAACAGTTCATAAAAAGTCATGTGACATTTAAGTGTGTTGAATCCATAACTCTTCTGTAAAATCACCGACTACAATTTCCCCAAAACGGCGCATACGTAGCCGCTCCACAGTAGGCGGGGTTTGTGGCTCCAGAGCCTGAATAAAAGGCCAACGTCCGTCAGCACCATGATTTTGAGTCGCTTATCATGTCAACAAACTTATTCATGTGTGATTTTAATTTAATTTCTTATTTAATGGAAACACCGCAAATGCAAAATAGTTTTTTCAGCATTAGCGGAACGTAGACAAAGATTTGCACACATCTGTGACGAAAACGCAGCTGTTGAGCAAATGTGACAGATTGTAGCAGTGCTCTGACTTTTTCCCTTGTACTGCGTGTGTCTCTGGTTGCTCACACAGCAGCTAATGAATGTGCCTCGTCTCTCAGATCGCCAAGCAGCAGCAGCAGCTGATCCAGCAGCAGCATAAGATCAACCTGCTTCAGCAGCAGATCCAGGTCAGCTCCTCTCCAGAGCTTTTGTGTGTCTCCATATATCATGGCGGCACCAGATGACCGTTACAAATGAGAAGTTCTCAGTGCAGGTCAGCACATTAGAGTGCTGGAGAAAATAACCCCAGAACATTTTGTGTAAGGTTCCTTTTTTTTTTTTTTGTCCCAGCAGGTGAACATGCCCTACGTGATGATCCCGGCTTTCCACCCCAACACCCAGACCCTCCCCGTCTCCTCAGACCCCCCGATGACATTGCCTCTGCAGCCCATCCCCTGCAAGCCGAGTGAGTAGCAGTAAAAAAGAAAATAAAAACATTAAAAAAAAAAAAAACACTGAAATGGGAGCATGGAGAGAAAGACAACAGATTAGAGGAACGTTAAAATAGCCAAGTTCAGTACTGTGTAAGTGGGAGGTGTTGTCAGGTGTGTGAAGAAAGGCTGCTGACTTTCATTTTAGTGGTGCCTCTTTTTTACTTTTTTTTTATTTTGTACATTTGCATCAGCTGCATCCTGAACATCAGTGGCGTATTGTTCATTTGGGATTTTCCCTAAAACTTCAGGTGAATTTAAATTATCCTGTCAAAATATGGTCCAATCTAAAATCACTTTTGAATTATGGACTAATATGAAATAAAGATTTGGAAGTGAACTAACTGAAGACTTTCCAGCTGCGTCTGGAACATCCTGGCCTTTCTACACCTCACGTAATCTGAAAGTACATCTCTGCTTACCGCCGTGTCGACTCATCGCCGCCGTTTTGCTCCACAACTCATTTGGTTGACATATAAAAGCTCTTTTTGTTTTAATGTCCGTAATGATGCATTTATTCCTGAAGACCTGAATCGCTGATTTATTTTTTTTCAGAATATCTTTTTATTTTTGTGTTTTTTACCTAAACTAGAAGAGTGATATGATGTCCACATAGGACAGATAAGCAGCATGCACCACCTCTTATCTATGTTTGCCAGACGTATCAAAAACATCAATTTAATTTAATCATTTTATTCATCTTTCGGTGATTGCTATAAAAATTATTTCTTTTGATCTTTTTAAGCACTTTGAGGCTTCTTGGAATTTTTTCCTTTGAATTTTCTAGGCAGTTCTATAGAAGTTTTACTATTATTATTATTCCACTCTGGAAAAACTCATTTCCAAATAAGCCCAACATTCATATCATCACAGTGATTTACACGTTAGTGTAGATGTTGGATAGCATCAATAATTATTTGGAGCATTTCAATGAATCGGTCGTTCAATCAATCAAGTTTATTTGTGAAGCACAAACGGGGCAGATCAAAATATTTTACATCATAAAAGTCATGAAAATATTGTACAGTCACCAATTGAGAAACCAGTTACGCTCAATGTTTTTCTGTTACCGTAGCAACGTCACCACTGGTATCTCCATGGAGATATTAACTATGCAGGTTATGATAAGCATGCAAACCGACGGCATGTCCATGAAGTCATTGTTGGTGCCTCTGCTGGTCATTTCCATCCTGCATTACACTATAACTGAGCACAGCTCTTTATCCACACGCTTTAGATTCAGTCCAGCTTAACTCGGTTACCTCACTGTAATGTCTCGCAGCTGATGGAGTTGAGCTGTGTTGCTATGGTAACTGAACAGGTGAGTTGGACTGTAATGAATGGATTTAAACGAACCAGGATGGATGTAGTTGCTCATGAATTTCACTCGTTTTGTTTTGTTAGTTTCTCTCTCGTAAAATTTAAGTTTAATAAAATGAACCAAATACAGTCCCAGTCCAGTATAGCTGGAGTCCAAATTGAGCTGATCAGAACAGACTGGAACAGATTATATTTATGCTCAATCAGATTATCACTCGGTGAATTTTCCAATTCTGAGCTGTGCCTCAAATTTCTTGTTTCTTTCAACCAATCCTGAACCATCTTTTGCTTCATCTGGCATCGGTGATGCCACTGATATGGTGAGATACTGTTTCTTTAAGGGGTGCATTTGGTCTGTGATGACGTTTAGGTAGATGTTGTTTATTTGTTTTTCCTCTCGTCACACCGGACCTCCCACTGCCATGGCGGCGTGATCCAGTTCATGCAAAAGTATTCCCAGGATTGAACTTCTTACTTTAACCTACAGCCACAAACTTCATTAGACGTTATCACAATGTTGCGTTGGTCAGAGTGGCTCACCAAAGCTGTGAAGGGTCAGGAAAATGTTCCGACCACCTCGGTGTATTAGTCACTGTGTTTCCATAACAAAATGTGTGCAAAACTTTGTCCATATTCTGCTAATGCTGACAAAAAAATCATTTTGCAGTTGTTGTGTTTCCATTATATAACAAATGTAATTAAAATCACTTGTTCATGCAACGTCATTAAAAAAAACCCTCGCCACGTCGTCATCCTCCTTCTACTTCCTGTCACTTTTCTTTTGTCCTTTCTGAAGATGCTGACAGGAAGTGGTGACAACGCGATGACGACTCGCACGATGCAGTAAAAGTGTGTTCATTGCAATTTTGTAGTTATACTAATTTAGATACTGCAGAAAAACCACCTCATTACAACACAAAAACTTTTGATTTTTTTTCTTTTTTTTTTTTTTGTCAAAATTGCCGTGTTTCCATGAAGCAAATTTACTTTGGCTGTTCCAATTTGTACAACTACACGGTCAATGGAAACGCATGCTGAACGCTTCTACGTTCGGATCCGTCTGCAGCCTGTAAACCTGTGCTCTGCTTCTTCCCAGCGGTCGACTACCCCATGCAGCTGCTCCCAAACAGCCACCACACGCCCATCAAGAGGAGCAGCAGCTCCTTCCGCCAGGTACCGCATCACACTCTTGTTTACATTACCTCCCATTTATCCGCCTGCTATTTTATTGCACCCATTAAGACGGTAGATGGGAAACTATTTGCTCTGCAGTGGGTGTAGGTGCTGAATGTGTGTTTGTGGTTTAAAGCAATGTTAAGGAAAGTGATTCTCTCAGGATTGAGCAAACAATGGGTTTTTCTAGTATTTAGGAGGCTGAAAAGCTTTAGGAATACGCCACACCCTCTGTTCAAAGGTTCAGTGTGTGCGGTGTAGGTGTAGCGCAAGCTGTTTGCACGGAAGGTTCTCAAGAAGAGATGGACCAACACAGCTTGAGTAAACAAAAGGAATGAGAGGATGAGAATAAGGCAAAAAAGAAAAAAAAATGCTAAGGTGTGACGGATGTGCTCCAACATGTCAGGTGTGCTGTTCATACCCGGGATCCACGCACACCCTCATCCTTTGTCACTCCGCCTGGCGTCGGCAGAGACCCCGCCCCCCTGATGATTTGCTCTCTCCCGCAGGAGGCGAGCCAGCCGCTGAACCTGACCTCCAAGCCCAAGGGGATGGAGCTGGGGAAGACGTCCAGCCCTCTGAGCCTGGAGCTGGGATCAGTGGGATCCATGCAGGGCGCCTACAGACCCAGAGAGGTGTCCCGCAGCCCGCCGCGGCCCGCCCTCAGTGAGTAACCCGCAGGCTGGGGTCGTCCGAAGGTCACCTACCAGATTTCTGTGATGTAAAATGAAATGAAATGAAATG